AAGATGGCGCTGTGTTCTGCTTTCTCCAGCCCGTGCAGATCCAGCCATTTCTCCAGGGGCTCCAGGCCCTTGAGGGGAAAGTTTTGTTTAGAAGCCAGGACATGGAGGCCCCGAGGACCAAGGCTGTACCAGGGGGAGTGGCCCCACACATTTCCACCTGGTGCAATAGACTGAGCTTGATATGTTCAAATCTGCAGCGGCTCACCAGTCACTCTGATTTTAGCCTTGTAACTCTCCTCTCCACATGTGTAACTCCTTTGTCTGACTGAGAAACCCGGCTCCCTCTGTCCTGCAGAGTCACCCCCGCCCCATGCTCCCGTGTGTGCCCAGCGCCTCGTCCCAGCTGTTCCCCTCTGTGCTGATCGCCCACGCCTCTGCTCTCCCTGATGCCTCCCCCTACCCTGCTGGGCTCGGACCTTCTCCCTGCTCCCTCTCTGACCCCTCCCACACTGTATCACCTGTGGTTGCTCCCCATCCCACTGACTTCAGGACAGGATGGCTGAGAAGGGGGATGCGAAGAAGGGAAGGGCTTTTTTCTTGTATTTAATTTTTTTTTTTCTTATTTGAAAAGCAGAGCGAGATCTTCCATCCACTGGTTCGCTCCCCAGCTGCTCACACTCGCTGGGGCTAGGCCAGACTGACCCCACGAGCCTAGAATTCAATGTGGGTATCCCACGTAGGTGCAGAGACACAGGGCTTGAGCCGTGGCCTTCTACCACCCAGACTGTGTGTCAGCTGGAAACAGCTGGGGCTGAAACTCGGGCCCTGGGATGCGGGACACAGCTTCCCAGGCAGTGTCTCACCACTGTACTGAACACCCACTCCTTGTGTGTTGTGTTGTTTTTTAAAAAAAAAAACAAAAAGTGCAATCATGTACATAGAGACAGAACCCCAAAATGATCATAGCAAGCATTCTAAATCCTTGGGGCGGCCAGCCCAGACCCACCTGGAAGGCCCCTGGCTGCTCTCAAATCCCTGCATGGCACCCAGCCTCAGTTTCCCCAGCTGTAAGGCGGGGAAGTGACAGAGCTTCTGTCGTGTTGCTGTGAGGGGCTGGTGCCAGGCAGAGGCGCGGCCCAGCCCCCACCCAGGGGGCCTGCTCCGCAGAGGCAGGCTCTGACTTTCTCCGTTTCTAGAAAAGCAGGGCCGGGCAGCCGGCTGGGTGTTCCTTGGCCTCGCGGGCCTTCCTCCTTCTGCAGGCCTTAATTTTTGTGTTTTTTTTTTTTTTTTTTTCCTTTTGGCACGCCAGCCGCCGAGTCTGGGAGGGTTTCCTGGACAGAGGGCCTTGCAGCTGCTGCTTTAAGACCGCAGCCCAGCAGGGCGCGGCTGCCACTGTGTCCCGACCCAGGCGCTCTGCAGGCTTCAGCATGGAGCTCCGGGGGACCTCCCTGCTCCTCTGCCTCTTCTCCCTCCTGACCCAGGTGCCCGCCGAGCCGCCAACGTCCAAGCCGTCCCTCAAAATCAAGAAGGCTGCAAATGTCAAGAAAGGTAAGGAGGGGGCAGGGCCCCCCATCTTCCCAGGACGCCCCCTCTGGACCCGGGGTGGTGTTGGCACCGGAACAACCCCTGGCTCTCAGATTCACGAACTTTCCAGATCAGCTAAGTTGGTAGCTGCTCCTCTTCTCCCCAGCATTCCCACAACACTTTCAAAGAAACCATACGTTTGTCCTGGCAGTGTGGAGAGGCTTGGCTCTCACGAGGGTGCACCACACAGGTTGTGCTTTGCAAGCTCCAAGCCTCAGTTTTCTCATCTTTAAAATGGGGATGGTGGCATCGGCCCAAAGGCTTGTTACACAGATTTGATGATGCAAATTATGTGCAGGTGCGTAGCCCAGTGCCTGGCACGGGATATGCTTGATGCATAGGGAGGAAAAAGAGCCAGAGACTTCCCCCTGTCCTAGGGTGTCACAGCCTGCTCCCACCCAGGCTCATGGCCCAGAAGTTGCCCTGCTCTCCTCGGCTACCTCCCCGCGTGGGGTGTCCTGGGGTTGTCTTGGCTGCTGCTAGACCTGTGCCTGCAGCCCTGCCTGCAGTGAGGTCACCCCAGGCTGTGTGGAGACAACATTGCCATGGCAACAAGCTGGGCTGTCACCCTGAGAGTGCTCCTGGCGGGGAACAGTCCCTGGAGGTAGGGCGGGAATTTGGGCAGAGCAACGGGTAGCCGCGGCCAGGAGCCTGGGAAGAAAGGAAAGGGGCTGTGGGGCTGCCCAGGGCCCTCTCTGCATCTCCTCTGTGAATGGACAGTGCCGTCCATGAAGGTCCCTCAGTACCACGGAGCCCCATGGGATGGGAGAAAAGACTCTCCGAGACTCAGTCCACAAGGGAACCAAGGGAAGAAGCTCAAGACAGAATGGGGACTGTGCTGGCACGGATCTGCACAAGACTTTTCTGGAAAGATCCAAGAGCTGGCAACAGTGACCAGTCTCTGGGCAGAAACGCTGTGGGGCAGGGGGCAGCCTCTGTTATGGTGGGGAGGGGGGCTTTCACTCCGCGAGCCAGCTGGGTTTTCAGACTGTATGCATGCATGACCACGCACAGAATGTGGGCAAGGCACGGAGGGCTCAGTGCTGCCGGGGGCACATGACACCTGCCTGGAGTGCTCTCCCTGGGGGGCCCTTTGGAGGCCCAGGACCCTGGGAGCCTTCGATCAGCGGCCAGAGCCTCTGGCTGAAGCCCACTTCTGTGTTCTGACTCAGTGCGCACCTGCCGCCGCACAGCAAGCCTGCCAGAGCTTTCTCCCTGCAGGGACCAACACCAGAGCTTGTGGGAAATGAAAAATTAAGTTGATCTCAATGCAACACATGTTGCAGTCTGTGCCTGGGTTTTTCACAATGTGCATCCTCCACGGATTTCAAAACGTGTTGCACTGCAGTAAACACCTTTTAATTCCATTTTCCTAGGCACTTTCTGAAGTGGCTTCAAATAGGTGCTGGGCACAGACACAGGGAAACACAGCCCCTGCTGTGGTGGCCAGCACTCAGGCATCAGCAGCTGAGCTGGGGGCAGGGCAGAGAGGTCATCAAAACCCAGGTGCCCAGGCCCCGCCTCTGCAGACGTTGGTTCTGGGGACAAGAGTGGGCTCCAGCGCCTGCCTTTCCCATGCGTGGCCAGTGGTTCCTGGGAGCAGCAGGGATTGGGGGGGGGGGCAGTCCTGTTGTAGGGCTGGCACACAAATGTGGAGGAGGGGGGTTCATCCCAGAGGAGGCCACTCAGCAGGTGGGAAGGAATGGAGGGGGGGACAAGGCCTGTGCTAAGTCCCCACTCCAACCCCCAGGGTGGGTGAGAAGCAGGAGCCCAGGGTGCTTCTGGGAGCCCCTGTGCGCTGTGTGCTGAGCCAGCCAGGGGCGTGCACGAAGGGCTCAGAAGGCTGGCATTGCAGAGGCCACACGGCCACACCGCAGAGGGGTACAGGGGACAGGATGGCTTCAGAGGGGCCACCAACCCTTAGAACAGGGACTGGGCCAGGCACGGGGACCTGGAGGGTGTCCATTCCCCTAACACATCAGCAGTCTGAGGCTCAGAGACACAGGGCAGCTCAAGGGCCACCCCCACCAAGCCCCCCTCCCACTCCAAGCCCACCCATGGCTGTAGAGACGCCCCTGCTCCCACACCCCCCTCCACTGAGCCTAATGCTGCCGGCTCCTGGCTGCTTACAGGCCCTGGAGGATGCTTTGTGCACGAGGCACAAGGCACGCCCTCTGAACTGACCCTGTAGGAGGTCACCCTCCTTCTGTCTGACCCTGCCTGGTCATGGCCAGGCTCTTCCCCCATACCCTGAGCTGAACGCCCTTGTGCAGTGTGCATCTCACACAACCTCATGTGCACCCCTGCTAACGTATCCCTGGGCACAGAGCTGCTGGGAACCAGAGGCCCAGGGTGAGGCACGCGCAACTGCAGGGGTTGCTCAGTCCCAACCTCTCCCTGCTCCGTGCCTTGCACGTCTGTCTCTGGGGCGTCTTCCTCGGGTCTGATAAATTGCATCATTAATTTTGGAATGCACTAGTTCGTGCCCTGCTCTGACCTCAGCCCTCACAACCGTGGCCCTTATGCAGGCCCAGCCCAAAGGACCAGGAGCGCAGCTCCCTATTCCCCACCCCATGCTGGAAGCAGCTTTGCTGGAAGCCACTGGGGCTTCAGAAAGGCAGTGGCCTGCCCATGGTATGCCCAGCGGGCGTTCCCCACCTGCTCCTGAGAGCCCCAGCAGGGTGGGGCCGGAGTTGGCCGTGGCCTTGGGGGCGTGGGGACCTAGGGTCCAGGCCAGTCCTGTGAACCACGGGCTCTGTGATCCTGGGCGAGTCACTCCAGCCTGGCCTCGGTTTCCCTGCCTGTGATGGGGTGGCGGGGGACAGCCCAGACCACCACGCAGCCCATGTCACAGGCTGATCTGAGCATGGCAGAAGGTGGCAGAGGGAAGGGTTAGCCCCGAGCCTGGCCCCAGCACTGGCCTCCTCAAAGCGCAAACGCTGGGTTCCCTCTGCTCTCACGAGAGTGGGTGAGCTGTGACCCGTGTCCTTCCCCCACCGTCCTCTGAGATGGGGAAACCAAGTTCAGAGAGGCTGAGCAGTTGCAGGTCACGTGGGGTGTGCAGGCTTACCTTTGGGGCCCTGGGCTGGAGCCCCAGCCTTGCTGGCTGTGGCTGGGGGAAGAGAACCCCACACGGCTCAAGGGACCCTGGCCTTGCTTCCTGAGCTCTGCCCTGCCTGGAGGGGAGAGGGTGGCTGGGCACCCACCCCTGCCCCTGGGGACCAGCAGCCATCCCGAGCTAAGGCAGTAGCAGGAGCGCCAGGCAAACCAAGAGCCATGCAGGAGACGCCGCTACTGCACAGAGAGGACGCAGGCCAAGACTGCAGGGTGTGGGGAGTCACCACCCTCCCTCCCCACCCCGTCCCCTTGTGCTTGGAGGGAGCAGGGCCCACCCTGTCCAGTCCCCAGCACCACCCCATTTCCCCTGCCTTCCTGACGTTTGCCCCTGTCCCCGCTTCCTCTGAACCTTGTCCTAGATGTCGTGAGCCCGAAGATGTTTGAGGAGCTGCGGAGCCGGCTGGACAGCCTGGCACAGGAAGTGGCCCTCCTCAAGGAGCAGCAGGCCCTGCAGACCGGTGAGTGTGGGTGGCCGTGTGGCCAGCAGCCACCTCTCCCCTGCGTCAGGCCGGCAAGTGCAGGGGCCTCGCCCGTCCCCAGCCGCCGCCTCTCCTGGTGAGGGGGGGCTGCTCTGATGTGCAGCCATGCGGCCGAGCCTCCGGCCACAGCTGAGTGTGCAACACAGAAGGTCCCAGAGGACCAGAGGCTCCACAAAGAATAGGCTCCGGCCCTCTCTGGGCCCCGGGCCCTCCTCACCCCACGCACCTCCCCACCCCTCCCAGGGCCTCCCCACCCCTCCCAGGGCCTCCTCACCCCTCCCAC